CTGAGCGTGGTGCTCCCACCCACCGCTGTGATTTGTAAGCTGACGGGTTTCTGGCAGTGTTGAATAGAGCCAACTGTGGTTTGTTTAACAAACCATGCTAAAGAAGCCACAACGTAGCTCAATGTATACACCCAGCCGGAGGGACGCCTTTGGGTCAGGCACTTGCCAGTTGCCTGTGGCCAATACAGCAATGTTTCTGGAGACCAGATGGGCCCCTGATCCTGTCTTGATGTTATATTTTATCCTTGCAGCTACAGCACGACGACGTGCAAGAGATGTTGTAAAGCATCCTTCAGAGAGAGGGAGCCTTCTTAAGGACAGATAATAGGAGCATCTTCTACCCCAAGATGCTTTCCCAGCTTGTTCTGAAGGCTTTGGGATGAGACAAATCATCTTTTTGGGACGCCCTAACTCTACAACCAGCCCCAAATAGCGGAGCCACAGTGAGCAACATACTTGGACCACGTCTTCAGCATCGTGACCGGACTCGACAGCAGGCAACGGCTGTAGGCTGCCAACGTTTTCACAACCTAGAAAAACAAAAAAGTCCCACTGTATTCATCCACGAATCTGCGAGCCCGACATCCTGAAGCGTTTTTCCAATCGCTCATCACCGACCTTTTAGTGTGCTTAATTAGCGTGCAAATAACAACAGAGACTGTAACATGAGAAAATTATTTCCTTTCCTTTAAAAAAAAAAAAAAACGAGGGGCAGGGAATTTGTGGCCTTCTAGCTGCTCCTGGATTACAACTCCCACGTGCCGCTGACGTGGCTGACGCTGAGGGGAGGCCATGATACTTGTAGTCGAACGCGGTTAACCGGCAGGCATCCGGTTGGGCGAGGAACGCTTGAAATTCAACGAAAGTCCGAGGCAGCAGCAGATCAGGGTGGGGGCTGAGACAGAAAGAAATGCGCACCCACCTTTCCTTCCAAGAGAAACTTGGCAAAAAGTTTTAAGCGATCAAGGCCTTCTGGATAATCTGCCTCCACCGCAGGAAGCTGCCAACCGACCCGATCTGTAGCAAGAGAAGGGAGAAGAGTGAGTATCTTCAGGGCGAACCGTATGCTGCGCTCAACCATGGTGGACTTTAGCGGTTCCTTGTCAAGGAAGCTGTAAGTCAGTGTTGTCCAAACTTGGCCACTTTAAGATGAGTGGACTTCAACTTCATGGCTGGCTGGGGCATTTTGGGAGGTGAAATCCCCTCATCTTTAAGTGGCCAAGATTTGACAACACCTCCGTTAGGGAACCGTTTTACCGGGGGAT